TATATACATATATATATATATATGTATATATATATGTGTATATGTATATATGTACACACATATATATATATATATTTATATGTATATATATATATGTATTTTGATGGATTTCCAACAGCAAAGAAGGAACCTTTCAAAGCTTTTAATGGCAAGACTTAATAAATAACATTATTAACACTCAAACCAAGAAAATGTGATTATACTGTAGATTTTTCATTTTCATGCTTTGTTGAATTGTGTTTATCCTCCTTCCACTCCTACTGTCCAGGTAGTTTTCAGGACCGTTTAATTGAAAAATATCCAACTCTTCCTTTGTCCCTCTGATGCCTCCGTCTAGTTTTCTGTGCACAAACCCCATTCTCTTTTCATGTTAAATTGTAAATATGTTTATTTGCGTTATTTATGTTCTGACCGTGATCAATCCTTTTCGGGTTGGTGTTATTATGAATGCGCTTCATGCGATGGAGCGCGTTGGAATATGTTGACTTCTTACAAGTCTAAATTTAATAAACTGTTCTATACCGTTTTACAGTTTGGTGTCCTTGGTGTGCAGTCTGTGGGTTGGAGGTGGGCAGTTACATCATCATGACATTTATCACCTAAACCTCATAAGGCAAAAAAAAAACACTTAAAACTTTCATGAAACAGAAAAACATCTTTCTTTATCATCAGTCCAATGAATAATTCACATTGGTTTAGTGAGACTTTAAATGGTTGTATCAGTGGTTTATTCCACAATCACACAACCTGAATCATATTCAACAAACACTGAGTCAAGAAATTAGCAAAACATTCTCAATGATGATATAATGATAAATAACAGCATTTTTTATACATTTTTCATATTTGTTTTATGACCCAAAAAACATGTTAATATTTATTCAAGAATGAAATGTTATGGTTTGCAAATATGTTGTCACCATCCACATCAAATAAGTCTTATTCCTATTGAACATTGTAACTAAGCAAGTCCTTGGTATGTAACACAAAATACATGATCTTTAAAATATATTATAATAAAAGGAGTCAGAAAATAATAAAGTTAAACATGAACTTTAACTTTCTGGACTGTTAGTATTATTTTTGTGAGGGTTAATATATATGTAAAAATGAAAATTATACCAGAACATATTTAGATTGAGAGGGACTTCACCTTCTGTATATAAAATGTGTATATTTTATAAATACATCTACATCTACTGTAAATATAAAAAGGCAAATTAACTTGGTTAAGAATATGGACACAAAAAACAGTATCTTGATCGGTCTTTACAGAAACCTTTACCTAGATTTTTCTTATTATTCAACAAAATATTAAAAAAGAAAGTAAAAAAAAAGAATTGTTTTCTGATTTTCAAATTATAAGTTTATTTTTTATTTAACAATGAATGCACACAGATGAAGGCAAGTTGAACACATCAATACATATCCTTGTGTCTGAGTAGTGCATCATAATAATACTACTACTACTACTAGTACTGCTACTACTACTAATAATAATAATAATAATACAATAATAACACAACATTTCAATATAAAATACAAAATAACATACTCGAACGTGTAAACAAATAAAAGTTAACAGGGAAGTATAAAAATACGTACGAATAATAGTCTTCAATTTGTTAACGTTTAAAGTCTGGCGCGCGCCGGGTTCCTCCCCCCGGTTGCGCATTTCCGTTACTATAACGTCACTTCTGGATGTCAATATGCGGCTTGGTGCGGCGCTGGGTAACGGCGGAACCTCTGGGAAGATGTAAACCAAGTAACCGGAGAAGACCAGCCTCAACGAACACAACTACCGTTATCCCCTTGGAAACCGTCCCTTAAGAACCACACCGACCGGCTGCGCGTTTAGTCGCTATCCCCCGAAGCACCGGAGCTCTCTCCTCAAAGCAGCCATCTTTTGTGGGAGAATGTACGGGGCGACGCGGCGGGCCTGCTCGGGCCGGACTCTGCTGATGCTGACAACCGCTCTCCTGCTCTCCGTTACCGGGCTGCTGTCCGGGCTGCCCAGCTCCACCGAGGCGAAGGAATGCGACAAACCGTGCATGAACGGGCAGTGCAACACCGCTACTGGAAAATGTGTGTGCTTCCCCGGCTGGGTAGGGGACCAATGCCAGCACTGCGGAGGGAGATTCAGGTACAGTGAGCCCCAAAACGCTGCTTTTATCACCGAGACAACCGGCTGTGCAAAATGTGAGCTAGTGCAAACACAAGAACTGAAGAGTGGTGGTGCACACCTGAGACATTCAACGACTGCTGCTGCTGCTGCTGCTACTACCACCACTACTAGGCTAATACCACTAATACTCTAAGGCTTTGTTGTCATGTCCAATGCTTACAGTTTAGTTTGGTTAGTTTTGGAAATAAACTCCTCCAAAAATGCAACATACTATACTTAACGAAATGAACCGGGGGGAGATTCAGGTACAGTGAGCTGCTTTTATCTCCGACAGAGGCTGTGCATGTCTGCTTTGTGCAAAATGTTAGCAAGTGCAGACACAATAATTGTAGTGCACACCTGAGACATTGAAATACTGCTACTACTACTACTACTACTACTACTACTACTACTACCACTACTAGGCTACTACTACTAATATTACCAGCAGTTCAAATAGGTGAAATGCTAGCCTTCTCAAGCAATGCTAATTTTGATGCCAGTGATATGAATTTAATCTTCATTAGTGTCCAAACTTTGTCAGTTAGTCAGCCACATGTATGGCATTTAAACCAAAAGTGACATCAACAATAAACATGAAACAGAAAAGCTGTAACCACAGAATGTTTGGCATTTTTATAACAAAGAAAAACAAATCACTTGGGCATTAATCTGCAATCATGCATTGCACTCTAACTCTTTATTTCTCTTACAACACAGACAGATATTTATTTCCAATGCAGGCGTGCCAGAACACAAACATGCTAGCTCATCACAAAACTGTTGTAAAATCGTATAACTTTTTAGTTTTAGCTCAAATTTGAAGCATTTGGACAAGAGTTGTTGTGTTGGTCCCTGTGGTTTTAGTAATAGTCGATGAGTTGTCAGTGCCTCTGCTAAAGAATGGAGATCCTGACTCAGAGCTGGGTAATAATCAGGCTGTTTTGATGATATTTGACAGCTATCATGTCCAGATAACTGCTATCCACTAAAAGGATACAGCAGTTCAGAGTCAAAGCATTAGGAATAGACTTTTTTAGTCTTGTTGTCATGGAAAAATGTGAGGGGTGGGAGGAAAGGGACCAGTTGATAAAACCAATAACAAATCTGTTCTCTCTTGCCCTATTTCTGCACACATCTAAGTTAGCTTTCTGTAGGTCATCACCCATACTTAGACAGAGGATAGTGGCACTACTTTCTGTGTAATGGCCATCGCAGAATGCAATTGAAAGGTGTCAAACATCGATTACTGAGAATATTCAGACAATCAGCGCTGCACATCTCGTTCTGTGCCCATTCAAGTGTCACTTCACATTAATGGCGTTTGTGCTGGTGAATGTCAGCACTACTTGATGACAGCTTCTTTTAGATACAATCAGCGCCAGTTTATAAGCGATTCAACCCCTTCTGCGTTTCCTTCCACGGAAAAACAACCACATTCATTTTCCCTTTGCTAAATTTGAGATCAAACTGAGAAGTTATGCTTCTGCCTTTCTTCTTCTTCTTCTTCCTTTTTGTGGGTTGTATGCTGATTTTTCTCAGCATTGTGATGAGCTAGCATAAAATGTGTCCCATCAGGGTGTGCCCTCGCTTGCATATATATAATTTTTAGAAGGGCATCCGGGGTGTTTTTTTCCCCTGTTTTTTTAATTCTATATTCTCTGTCATGCTGCCTCAGCTCAGTGCCAGCCTGCGGGGTTGTAAAAGCAGAGCTGGTGGGGGGCCGGCTGTCTAATGCTTACCCAGAAGTCGGTCATGGTTAAGGCAAAGGGAAGCTGGGAACTTTTTCCACATTAGCACAGCTGATTCCTGAGCATATCTGAACAGATGAAATGGATTCTGAATGGCTGCTGAGCTTCTAGTGTTTCAGATCAGCGGGATGAGTGCTCTCTGGATGAAAACGCTCGACGTGGTTTTAAAAACTAGGGAGGCGTTGCACTCGAGTATTTATTGAAAAGCCTATCACTGTGGGAAATCATCACCAGCTGCATCCTGGGAAACATGGTGGCTTGTTGTTGGTACCCAGTTCAAGTGGAGCCATTGAAGATTCATTTAATTTAATTATGATTAATAATAAAAAAGCTTTATGTATAGCACTTTCCACATGTGTTCAAGTGCACCTCGTAGTGATTTACCAACATGGCATACAACACACATTTAAACAGAAATGTAGTTCAGGTCAAACATTAACACCTTGTTGCACACATGCAGCATAAAAACATATTTAACATACAAGGAGGAACACAAGGAGGTTAAAAGGTGTTATAGTAAAATACAACATAATCAAGACGGATAAGCCTCTCAGTAAAACAAAGGGAGACATAAGACAGAGCGAATAAATACAATACAATGATAAAACCTATAAAATAAAGAATAATAATGATTAAAAGAGGGAAGTCGCTTATAAAAAGCTAATCTATAGAAACATGTCTTCAGCTGTCCTTTAAAAATATCCACTCAGTTTGCCCCTGTATGTTTTGATAATAAAAGTTATAATAATGTCCATAAAAAGAATAATGATTGCCTCTATAGTCTGTTTGGCCAAATTGAAATTGTTAGACATTATTTTTTGATTTGTTATGTACATGTTGCTTTCTGTCTGGGTGCCGAGGGGTTTGGCCTTTCATTTCAAAATTAGCAGTTAAATCCCAACGTATTCTTTTCAACACGAGTGTCCTTGAGCATGTAGCTGAACCCAATTGCTCCTGGTGTGTCTATAGAAAATATAAACTGGTTTGTACTGCAGACACACTTGATACTCTTTCAGTACCACGTCAAGACAACATACTGTACGAATGTTTTATTTGTTACTATTCTGTTTCCAGTATACAGTCAGTCAATAATTGTTACTAAAGGCAGAAACAAGAAAAGGGGAACTAGATAAAATAATTAATTCTTCAGTTGATCGATTTAAAAAAAATCACACAACATCATTTCTTAGGAAGGATTTATTTTTCAGACAAACATTGTTTGGTTCCAGCTTCTAAAATGTTCAAATGGTGTGGTGCTTTTCTCTGCTTTCTATGACTTGGTTGAATATCTTTTGTCTGTATGGACAGCTTTGTGTGTGTGGAAAACTGTAATGGGCTTTTTTCATTATTTCCAAACATTTTGTGAACTTGCAAAGAAATAACAACATGAAAGTTGCCGTTTTATAACCATCTGTATACTCAAGCTGCTGGCCCTTAAAGCTTGCGTTAGTTTAACCAAAGATAAAAAGTCTCTGTGGGGATTATTAAAGTGGAACTTTGACTTTGTCTATGGCTATTACATCTTCTCTTCCTTCTCCTTTAACAAGCGGCAGAGCAGCATTTAATTGTCTGTTTCTTTTCTAAAACTCTCGTGTTAGAAAAGCAAAAAAAAAAGGAGCTCTGTCTTTCCTTCTGTCAGAGTAGTTGGTGCTGCGTGTCTGCTGGAGGAGTGGTAGTGTGACCCTGAACCTCACTAATAACACAGTGGGCTCTGACACTACAGCATAATGTTCAGCAGCCCAGGCTTTGTGTACAGCGTTATCAGTGTCGGGCTTAATTATCATTAAAGGGAACAGTAAACTCTCAGCTCTGTGATAGCAGATCATCATGTGTTGTTCTGTTGCCGCGGTCAAAGGGACGATCGTTTTTTAGGGAGAGCCTGTGGTATGAGGCTGTGTTTAGCATACAGACAATGCTACCATACAAGGCTGGCTGAATGCGGGTAAAAGCAGCCTTCTGTGGACGGGTCCTGCCAAGATGGAGTCCCTGCCATCCATGAGGGCCCAAGAAGGGGGGGGCAGAAGCAGATTAGTGTGCTTGGTTGTTGTCTTAAAGGCATAAGATTTTCTTTTTCATTCTATTACATTCCTACTTGTGGTTCTGTGTAGCTTTCCCATGGCACTCTATTAGTAGATGTAGTCAGGGAATGGCAAAATGATTTAAACCAATACCACGATGTGAATACAAATATGTTCCTGTTATATGATCTGTATGGCAGTATGACAAATGGATGAGGAATTACTTTTTTTTTAAAAGTTGTTCCTTGCCCAAATTGAAAAGAAAACACCAAATGTTCAATCTTTCTTCTAGTGATATATTACTTGTTTAAATCAATCACAATCTAAAATCATACCTGCCATGTATAATCAATATCATTAGAAAATGACAAATGCATTTTTAAACACTATTTGATCCACTGATGCTGTACAGATGCATCCGTCCTAAGATTAACTGTTGTTTTGAAGTGTTGTCTCTTGTGTAGTCTGCTTACGAGTCCTCATCCGTCCTCAGGCTCTGGATCAGTTTGAAGGCCGACCGCGCTCCACTGAAGGCCTGCTGAGCGGCCAGACTGCCCTCTGCAGAGAGTAATGGCCCCCACTGCTGCTCGACTGATTTATTCTGGGTTTTAGCTTACTGATGCAGAGGTAGAAAAGTTTGCCCCGTCCTGAGTTAAAGATGGACTTTAGGAAGTTTTACAGCTTGCTACTGGATGGATGGATTTGCGAACAAATGAACAGAAAGACTATGCTTTGCTGCGATGGCAGTGACGCCATTTTCCACACAGAAATCTTTAATCTCATTGAACCTCACTAATTACATGAGCCAGGACTAAAACGTGTTGGTGTTTTCACTTTCCTCTAGTGTGTTTTTTTATAGGTTATTGTGCATGTACATGGTCTGCAAAGTTTCTCTCCCACACCCAGCCAACCCTCCCCCCCCTTGCCAGAAACACCTCGATTGGACTCATTGGTTTACCTTCGCAACATAGTGACATCATTACGTAATAGTTGCGCTACTTTTGGCTAGTGCTCCAACACATTGCACGTGATCGTCTAAGAGGTGGGACATCTTTAAGAGGTCAACCAACAATAACAAAGCCGGACAGCTAACCAATCAGAGCAGACTGGGCTCTGGTTTCAGACAGAGGGTGAAAAGAGGTGCTGCAGTACAGGCAGTATGAGCAGAATAGAGAGTTTTTTGAACATTACAGCATTGAAACCAAAACCT